AAGGGACAGTGAGAAAACCAGCCAGAAATGAAGCAAAGGACTTGCTGGTGGCTCCTAGCTCCCTTTCTTGCCTGTCACATGTCACTTACCGTGGAGCTGTCTTACACATCCGCTCCTCATGGTGCCGAGACCAGCCAGCCCAGTGATGGAGGATTTTCAGTTCTGGTTGGAGTTAAGAATGCTTCCTGTTTAAATATGACTCGTGATGAAGTTGACCACAGCCAGGAAATCACAGTCTGGGTGCTTTCTTCCTCCAATCAGTTCCCTGTGAATTCCTCAGAACTCAGAGGTTTGTTGCCAAATATTTGCTTAGTTTGGGTAATAATCATGGTGAAGATCTCCTGGGCGTGACTCCCATCTTCTGAGACAGGAAGGTGGGACACTGGGCATTAGAAGCTCAAGCATGAAGGATCTTTCTCCTGGTCTTCTTGCTCCATAAGGACCTTGGTTCAGAATGAATAGACTTATCTATTTATTACCTATCCCTAGACTTACTTGTGTAACTTACATGAAAACAAGGCTCATGATTAAATATAGAACTCAGGGCTTCAGTAGATGGGGACAGGAGAAGTCAAACAGCCCAACACGTGACTCTCCTCTGGGGCAGGGAGAAGGTGCGTCTGTGAAAGTTTGTGTCTTACTGTTTCCTTTCCACCAAAAGCACCGTGTCCCCAACCAGAGACAAGCCTTGGCATTCCCAACACTCACACCTGGAAAGTCTGAGAAGGCAGGCCCTGCAGAGCCACCTGGTCCCCACACTACTATTGGTCATTACAAATTTTAGTTTTGTGTTTTCTGTATTTATGATTCATCAATATGTTGAAATGAAAATGGGTAATTGCTGTGAAAAATCAGACTATTCTTTTGAATACCCAGAGGACACTTTACTCTTTGCAGTCTTGTTAAGTGTGCTAGTTTGCTGTGCATACACTGTAGGTTTGAATGTCCCTGTCCCCAGGTTACACCAAATTCTGTATTGATTCCTGGCCCAATCTGAGTTCACTTGCAGAAATCTCATCTGTTGTGAATATGATGTCGTTCTCCCTTATCAGTTCTAAGCTGACGCTTGTAACAGTTAAATAATATTAATAAGTATATGCACTATTGAAAAAATCTCATATTCCCAAAGGGGACTGTTATATTTTCAAATCACTTCTCTTAAACTCTGGCTCTTCACCTTGCACCTGTAAAGATACAATATTGTACTGTAAGTATTAACTTGATAAAACCATATGCATTATATTTCGACTTGCCTTTCCCATTCAACTTTGTGTATTGGAGATTTTTAAAAATATGAGCTATATTATGGACAGATGTGTGCTATTTTTACAATTTATACTGACATACCCTATTTATTTTCCTATTCTTTTTTGATGGTTGCTTGTATATTATGACATTTTTCACTCTTTCAAATATAATGCAACAAACCTTAGAGCTTTCTGTAAACATGGGATTGTTTAATGTGATGTAGATTAAAAGAAGTGTGTTTGCTGGGCCTTAGGTATGCACCACTTAAATTTTCATAACTGGTACCAAATTGCTAAATAAAATGTCTACATAAATTGACTCCAATATCTAACATTTAAGAATATCCATTTCACTGTTGGTCTAACAACTATTGAACATAATCAACTTGGCAGATTTTTCTGAACTAATGCTCGAAATATTGGCTCCCTTAAAAATTAATTTCAGTTTCCTTAATTGCTGGGTATTTATTTGCCATTCATTTTTCTTTTTCAGTAAATAACATAAATTTCTCTTTGTCCCAGTGGCTCAGGAGGCTGAGGCAGGAGGATTGCAAGTTTAAAACCAGCCTCTGCAACTCAGCATTAAATAGGTGCTATGAACATTGGTGTGCAAGCATTCATTTGAGTCCCAGTTTTCCATTCTTTGGGGTGCACATGGATGGGGTGGAGTTGCTGTGTGATGTGATAATTCTATGTTTAACCTTCTGAGGAACTGCCAAACTGTTTTCCACACTGGCTGGACCATTTTCCATTCCCAGGTGTAGTGCATGAGGATTCCAGATTCTTCCCATCCTCACCAATATTATTATTTTCTTTTTTAAGAAATGTTACTTTTTATATTACTTATTCATGACAGGATTGTCAATAATGTGTAATGATCATTTCAGGGCCATTGACAAATGTGTATCCTAAACACATATCATTTCTTTGTGCTGATATCACTCCAAATCTTCTCTTCTAGATTCAAAAACCAATTACATTCTGATTAGCTTTAGTGACTCTAGAACGCAACAGAGCACCAGAACGTATTCCTCCTAACTGTGACTTTGTGCCTGTTGACAACCTCGACTACCCTTCCTCTTCCCTGTCCAGCCCTGGTAACCATTAGTCTCCTCTCTGCTCCCCAGACACCAGCAGTTCTGGGTTCCACCTCAAGGGGGATTCTGCAGTCTGTGCCTCTCTATGTTCATTCTGGGGTGTGAAGGGCATCTTACTGTGGTTTTGCATCAAGCTCAAATTTTGGTCTCATTAGTAAAGTTTTGTTGGGAGACAACCACACCCGCTCCTTTGGTATCTATGGTGTCTGCCACACTCATGGCAGAGCTGAGTCACTGTGAGAGACCATGTGGCCTGTGAAGCCCAAGACATTGACTCTCTGCCCCTTCACAGAATTTTGCTGGGCCCTCCACTCAAGCAAGTAGTCAAGGTGAGAACCATATTAGTGTGTGTGTGTGTGTGTGTGTGTGTGTGTGTGTGTGTATACTGGCACTTTATTACAATTACTGTCAGCTCTGTTCTCTTTAGTTATTGTAAGGGCTAGCTATTGCTGCAGAACAAGCAGTCCTCAATGCAAATGGCTTAGTAAGGTTTTTAATACCCAATGGGACCACCTGTTGTGGGGTTTTCTGAGTCTGACTCAGGAAAAGAACATAGGAGAGCCTGTGGCCAGAAATCATATGATGGGCAGGAAATTCATCTCCATTGTGAGCCATCCTTTGATCTTAAGGAATGAAGTCATTCTGAGCCTGAAGGACACACATAATGGAGGATATGGGTATTGCTCATTTAGTAACCTTCAAGTGCTGTGGCAAAATTCAGAAAGGGGAGGAATATTTCACTTAGAATAACGGAAGAATTAATATTTCTAGGCAGCACTGGACATTTTCAAGCAGATCAGTGACTCAATAATTCAACCTACAAAATGCTGACCAATGYCAATGAGCAAATCCCCCCAACACAAGAACAACAACCTTCAAAACCTCAGTGATTATATTTGCAAGGTGAAAAGACATATTTTACGTAGCAATCCAAGATGTAATATAGATGTTTTTTTTCTCATCATATTTAAAGTCCTCTCTGATTCTGAGGCCAAAGTGACCAAACTTTCATTTTAAGTTTTTCTTTTCATCTAGACTTCAAGTGGAGACATGTATTTGAAAATAAGTTTTCCAGTGATTATGGTAGAGACTGTGGACACCAAGCTGGGCAAGGGAAAAGAATCCCAATGGTGGGAAGAAAAGCCAAAGCTCAGCCATGAAGCTCACTGGTCTGTTGGAATCAGCCTCATCAGGAAGAACAGCTGAGATGGGGACGCATGGAGGCATGAGGGACCCACAGGTCAAAGCCATGCTGTGGGATTCCCTCCAGTATAGGATTATTACACAGGCCATCTTAACTGTCAAATGCATTCCCCCACAGGAGTACCATGCACGACTGTGTGTTTTAGTTTCAATAAAAGAAAAATTACGCCATATGATCCATCATGGGAGAAGAAATGGTTTTTAGAAATGCATGTCATCCCATGAGATGAAAGTGAATTTCCAATATCTCTAATCCAGGATTGAAAATCACTTTGAGAGAGTATGCAGATGATAGAGAGAAAGACTGCTCGGATCTTGGAGCAGACAGCTTAGCAGGGCAAAACTGCAGAAAACAAGTAGAAGGAACAAGTCATACTTCTCTCTCTGAGATCAAAATATTGTATTTTTATTTTTGCTCTGATTCTTGAACTCTGTGATCAAAAGACATATTTAAGACTCAGGAAAATGGTCTTTGAATTATTCCTTCTTCAAAGAGTCTTCTCATAGTGCTCTTGATGTCTTTATTCCTCAGACTATAGATGAAGGGGTTCAGCATGTGGGTGACCATGCTGTACATCACTGAGGCTGTTGAACTTGAGTGTGTATTTTGGGCAATAGAAGAACTAAGGTACACTCCCAGGAGTATGCAAAAGAACAAGGAGACCATGGAGAGGTGAGATGCACAGGTGGAGAATGGTCTGTATTTGCCCTGAGCTGATGAGATTGCATGGATGGAGGACATAATCTTGGAGTAGAAGGGAAGGATGTCAGCCAGGGGACCATCTCGAGCAGCTGGCTACAATTACAGCACCATATTATTTTAAAAAGTGTCAGAACAGGCAAGATAAATCAACTGATTAGTTTCACAAAAAAGAAGTGGCATCTCCAAGTCTGTGCAGAAGGACAGACACAATGCCATTCAACTTTGTAGCAGGGAATAAAGAAAACTCATGATCCAGGACACCCAAACCAGAAATCCACAGAACCTGGGGTTCTTGATGACAGAGTAGTTCAGGGGGTGACAGATGGACATAAAGCTGTCATAGGCCATTATGGGCAGGAGGAAGTTTTCCAACCACATAAATAATTTTAAAAAGCTTATCTGGGTGATGCAGCCTGCATAGGTAATGGCCTTGCTCTGTGTCTGGATGTTCACCAGCATCTTGGGGATGGTGGTGGAGGTGAGGCAGATGTCCACAAAGGACAGGTTGGAGAGGAAGAAGTACATGGGCTTGTGCAGGTGGGAGTCTGAGATGGTGGCCAGGATGATGAGCAGATTCCCCAGCACAGTGACCAGGTACATGGACAGGAAAAGACCAAAGATGAGGGGCAGCAGATGTGGATCCTCTGAAAATCCTCATAGAAGAAATTCTGAAATTTTTGTGAAATTTTTTGGTTCCATGTGCTGTGAAGAGAAAAAATAGCACATGAGTAGTTTTTGCACCTAGCCACCGTTAGGGTGACCCCAATTTCATTCCTATTTAGGAGACTCCTTCTTTTATTAGCTGATTCATTCCTAATTTGGAATTAGGAAAAAGGTAGCTTCGCTACAATTTTGTCAGCATTTTGTGTA